TATATATATGTTAGATATGAGTTCTTTGTTAGATATATGCACATCACTGAAGAATATCTTTTCCCTAATCTAGGCTTTACTTCTTCTCTTCCTATTGGTTTCTTTTGAATAAAAACATTCTGAATCGAAATTCAATCCAAATTGTTAATTTCTTACAGTATTTTTTTGTTCTATGTAAGAAATTTTTGTCTACCAAAGATCATGATAATATTATTGTGTATTAACTTTTAGAAATGTTATTGTTTTAACTTTCACGTCTAGGGTTACGATTCATCTGGAATAATCGTGTGAGATAGAGGTCAAAGTACATTTGTTCCCATATATTACCAACTTTAATTTATAACACAGAAGTAGCTTAAGAAAATAATTATACTTTAGTCCTTCCTGGGCCACCCTTGAAATCTTCTGTTTAGCTCTTTTACTTCATCATTTCTTCTGTTTACTTTAGCTAATCCACATTCAAAAGCAAGTTTCAGAATCTCTTCTGACATTCATTTTGGTCTTATCATTCTCTCCTGTCTTTTGAATAACCTTTTGTTTTCATCACATATGATGTCCTTGATGTCTCCCATACCTCCACTCTGGGGTCCCATCATTGGCATTTGTCTTAGTTTTCGAGTGCTGCCACAAGTGATGCCTTTAACAAACAGAATTTATTCCCTCACAGTTTAGGAGGCTCATTCTAGGGGAAGAATTTGTCTCTGTTGGCTCTGGAGAAGGGGCCTTGTCTTCTTTCAGCGTCTGTAGACTCAACATTCTTTGGCGATTTCCATGAGTCTTTTCATCAAGCCTCCTCTGGATCTTGGAGCTTCACAATATGGGGCCCCAGGTCCAAACGATGCACTCCACCCTTGGATCTTCTTTCTTGGTGGTAGTAGCTTCCCCTCTTAGCTGCTTGCCTGTTTAATCTCTTTTATATCTCAAAAGAGATGTACTCAAGACACAACTGAATCCTATAGATTGTATCCGACCTCATTAACATCATAGAAATGAGGGTTTATAACCCATCCATATGATAAGCACTGGGCATTAAACCACAAGATCCGCAGTTCGAGTCTGCCAGCCATTCCTCAGGAGGACGAGGGCTTTCTGCTCCCGTGACGACTTGACGCCTCAGAAACTGTGGATAGGGTTGTTATGAGTCAGAATCCGACTCGACAGCACTTAATAACAACAGGAAAATTACAACTGATCAAGGTCGATCACATCAGATCACATCATGGGGTGATTACATTACATTAGATTTCATCTTGGGGGATTACTACACCCTAACTGCCAAATCAGTCTGCTTCTGTAAAGATTATGGCTTTGGAAAGCCCACGGGGAGCTTCTACTCTGTAGTGTAGAGTCGTTGTGAGTTGGAACCAATTCGACAGCAATGGATGTCTTTTATTTATTTTTAAAGTGGTCAGTGTCTCTAGTGATGCAAAAAACTAAGCACTTGACCACTAGCTGAAATTTGAACTCACCCAGAGATGCGCTTGAAAATAAGACTGGAAATCTTTTTCTGAAAGGTCACAGCTTTGAAAGCCCTTTGGAGCAGATCTGCCTTGCACACATGGGGTTGTCGTAGGTTCGAAATGACTTGATGGCAAATGACAATGATGTTTTCCCCCTCATCTTTGCAAGATGATTGACGACTCCTCTCTCAGCTCTGTTTAGGAATGACTTTCCCTGATTCCTCCATTCTCTGTATTCTCCCGACCACCCACCATAGTACTTACTGTGGCATTATAGGATAAATGCTGCAATGCTAAGCACAAAGTCAGCAGTTCAAACCCACCAGCTGTTCCACAGGAGAAAGATGAGGTTTTTTATTCCTGTAAATATTTACAGCCTTGGAAACCCTACACAGGGTTGCTCTGAGTCAGAATCGACTTGACGACACCTAACAACAATTGCCAATCCAGGCCCATTCAAGTTGACACGAAACCTTAACTATCACAGGGGTCTTCCTCTTTCTCACTGACCAACAGTGATGTCCTTGTATTAAAAACTTGATGGCACCTAACAATAACAACACCATATAACACTAAAGTACTTATTGTTAAGTACTGCCGAGTCAACTCGGATTCATAGCAATCCTGTATAGGGGTTCCTTCTTTGTGGAAGAAGAAAGCATCATCTTTCTCTTGTGGAGAGGCTGGTGGGCTCAAAGTCTTTGTGGTTCGCAGTCCACTGCTTATCTTACAGAGCTACCAGACTAAATTATTAATATTTTAAAAATGTACTTGTAAGGTAGCATTTCATAAGTGCTTTCTTGACCCAGAGTTGAGGTTCAGGCAAATCACTCTCAACTGGCGATTGGCTTTTAGCATGCTCTAACACTGCTAGGCTCCAACGACAAATGCCCAATGCCAGAAGCACCCAGATGCCTAACACCTAGAAATGGCCCTTTTGAAAAGAACTGTTCAAAATGCCCAATTCCAAAGAAATCCATGAAACCCACCCTGCTTGCCATACACATACTACCTCCTGTAGTCATGAGGTAGGACTGCCGTGTGGCCCTCTGTAGCCCTTCATGACAGCCTTCTCTTGTTTGGAGTGCTAAGTAACCAAGAGTTCTCCCTTTCATCTAGCTGAGTGTTCTGCCATCCAGAGAACTTACCATCAAAGTCTGTTGTCAAGTACTGTTGAGTCAATTTCAACTCAAAGCCAGCAACCAATGTGATAGAGTAGAACTGTCCCATTTGGTTTTCGAGGCAGCAATCTCTATGAGACCAGATTAACAGGTCTTTCTTTCCAGGAGGCACTGGGTAGGTCTGAATCTCCTACCTATTGGTTAGCAGCTCAGTGCTTAACGGCTGTAATACCAAGGCTCTTAATATCTTAAGATGATCAGACGTAATGTTTTATAATTAGAAATGCTTCCAGATTTAATGACTTTATTATAATGATAATATATTGATATTTGTTATTAGGTGCCATGGAGTCGGTTCTGACTCAAAGCGACCACTTATGAAAACAAAACAGTTAAGAAAGAGCCCTTGCCCCTCCAAGCATCTGGAGACACTGGAAGGAGAAAAAAACAAAAAACGAGCC